GGGTAGTGAGGGAAACAGTGGCCCAGGTGCTGCCCCACCTGGGGCCAGGCCTCCCATTCCGCCCTCCCCTGGGCTCTGCTGGGCAGCTCTGCTTCTTGGAGGTCCCTCACCAGGACCCTGGAGGTCCCTCACTTGGAGGACCGGCTGTCTTCTTGGGGTCCCTCACCAGGGCCCGGTGGGCGCGGAGGGGGGGGGGGCAGCCCCGTGTAGCACTCTGATTGGCTGGACCTTGATCACATGCTCACCCACAGCTGGGAGTGGGGTCTAGGGTTGGGTGGGAGATGGGACCTGGCCCAGCACCAGAGCCCACCATTCCCGCCCAAGCGAGTCAAGGCACAGATGGTCACAGCCTCTGCCGCTGTCCCCCCCCACGCGGCGTGGACCTTCCTTGACCAGCCCCCATCCTGCCCGTCTCCCCAGTGCCCTGGAATCTCTTGCACTTCCTTCCTCTGAAGCCCCCGTGTGGCCTGTGCTGCCTTCCCCCGCCAACCTCAACCCAACTCAATGGGAAAAAAAACTGCTGGCATTTCAATGGCAGAACTTGATGAAAAGTTGGTGACCAAAGGCTTGGACGAGCTGGCAGAGGACCAAGGGGACAGTGGGCAACCAGGAAATTAAATGCTGCAGGAGACTGCTGTCCGAGGCCAGAGGAGCCAGGGGAGGGTTGCCACCCAGCCCCCATGTGGCTGAGTCCCCACGGGGACAGACTGCTGGAGGTGCTCCTCTGTGACCCTGGGCAAGCCTTGTACCCCTCTGAACTCCTTAGCTATCACACGGGGGTTTGTGCAAGTGAAGCGAGGCATCAGACGGAGAGCACCCAGCTCAGCACTGGAACTTAGGTGCTTTACAAAGGGCAGAGCACTTACCAAGGAACTGAGCACCCACCAGGGGAAGAGGGGAGCCATGCCCCCCAGGGGTCCTTGGCCTTAGGAGCTGGAGGTCACAAGGTCTAGGAGAGGCTCCAACTTGAACCTGTCTGAAAGGCAGACGCCAAGTGGGTGTCTGGTGTGGAAGAGATCTGGGGGGACACAGCTGTGAGGGACACAGGAATGGGCCAGAGGGGTGGGGAGAGCCCCAATCCCCCCACAGGGTGCCTGCCCAAAGAGAGCAGGGGGGGGGTGGGAGGAGCCTGTCCACAGGCCCCCACCCCCTTGGGCTGTGCTCTCCGCCAGGTGGGTGGGCACCTGGCCGGGAGCAGCCAATGCCACGGGGTCCAGAGGGTGTCAAGCAGGCTCAGCGGCGGGATTTCTGAGCGGAGCCTTGCCACATGGCCACGTGGGCCAGCCCGGCAGGGGTGTCGGGGACACGCAAGGAGAGGTCTGTGTGTCACCCAAAGCAAGGTGGTCAGCCCTACTATCCCTGCACTGTGGGGGCCCTGAAGGGGGAGGGCAAGGGCGGGAGAAAGGTGTGCCCCGGCAGGACCCCAGAACTCCAGAGGAGGAGTGGTCTGGCCACGGTGGGTTTTGGTGCGGCGGAGGGTGGGGGGGGGGGGTGGCAAAAACCTCAGGAGAAGCCACGAGGGTGGTTAGCGAGGGCCTGGCCCAGGGAAGACCAAGGAGTGTCCACAGGGAGCGGCAGTGGCTGGGCGGCTCAAGGACACGTGGCCCTTTGGCCCTGGAGACTACAGAAAGGTTAGAATAAAGTCAGGAGATGGGCTGACAGGCCGAGGGCCCTGGAGAACACGTCAGCGTGGGAGGGACACGGCAAAGGACTCTTCAGCCGGCAGCCCCGTTGTCCCGGGTGGAGACCAGCATCCTCACTGCGTTTCCAAAGGAGAACAATTCAGCGGGAGCCGGGAGCCGGGCCCCGGGTCGGTCCTGGCCGCCTGGTCTGCCCCCTGCCCCCTGCCCCCTGCGGGGTACAGGGGTCAAATCTCCTGCCCCGAGGTCCTGCCCTCACCCCTCTTCTCCACAAGGGAAAGACCTCAGAGGGTGCCCTCGGGCTCCTCCTGCTACCACAAGGGACTGTCCCCACAGGATGGGCAGGTCTGACATCCCCTAGGGTCTGGGCCTGCCTGAGCCATTCGGGACCGTTTGTCACCTCACCCAGTGCCACCTTCAGCCTCAGCCCCTGCATGGTGGTCCTCACTGGCCATCACTCCCCAGCCTCCCTATATCTGAGGGTGCCCCCCACACTCTACCCTCTGCCCTACACTGTGGAAGCGGCCCAGGCGGTGCCACGGCCATGCCTGCCTCGAACCTGCCCCCCCCCCCCCCGCGGTGCCCATGGCCTGCCCTCCCTATGGCCCCTCGGTACTCAAGCCCACAGGCACCCTGTCCCTCACTTCTCTGGAGCGGGGACCCACTGTCCCCCAAGACGCTCTCCTCAAGCTCCCCATGGCTGGCTCCTGCATAGCTGTTAGCCTTTCGCTCGGGTCCCCCTCCTCCAGAAAGCCCCCCGTGGCATCTCCCAGCCCTGTTGCTGCCTGTCTAGCTCCAGCCGCTCTGCACACGTTGAAGCTGCTGGGGTCGGGCTGCAGCTCAGAGGACGCATGGCTGGTGGACCTTGCCTGGCCCTGGGGGTCTGGGGGGCGGGGGGCGTGCAGGGCCCCAGCGGCACCCAGCCCTGGCGGACTTGGCTAGAGGCTCCTCTTTGTGGAAGGTCTCTGCGTGAATCACCCCTCAGGCCCAGGCACAAATGCAGGAAATCGCCATTCTGTGAGACTCTATTTTCTCCCACAGAGGGGAAAGTCTGTCACACGAAGGGCATTGTTCCCCTGCTCGTGCTTTCCGGGTGGGCACGGTCCGCGATGGGGCTTGCGCGTTCTGGGGGCTCCTGGCCGAACCGTTTCCCTTCGAGACCCAGGGGCGCCTAGAGGTTGGGAATATGGGGCCACGGCGCGGCCACCAGCTTCAGGGGGACACGGACCCACCCGCAAGGCGGTGCGGATCCCGGGAACCTGGGTCTGCACAGCGTCGGGGCCCGAGTGAGGTCAGGGCCAGGGTTCTGCCTGACACCCACACGCTCTCTGCCCGTCTGGGGGCCTCGGGGTCCCTTCCAGGCTCCAGCTCAACCTTGCCTCCCCCTCTCCAGGAGGGCCGCCCCAAACCCACCCTGCGCCCCCTGCAGCCTTTGAGACCTGGCCAGGGGCTGTGGCCCTACCGCCCCTTGGCTCTGGGCTGCACGGGCCACTCTGTCCTGGGGAGACCCTGACACAGTCGGGCAGCAGAGGGGCAGGCAGCCCCCACGTGACGCCACCCCGGCCACCCGGTCCCGTTGCTGCCCTCGGGGCTGACGTCAAGTCCCACGTGGGGCACACGGGGCACACGCGGCACATGGGGTGAAGGGGCCGGGGCGTTGCTTACAGCTCAGCTCAGTCGTACACGGGAAACGGCAGGTGCACTGAGGGGCTCCCACGAGCCCCCGAGGAGCCCCGGGAAGGGCTGTGGACAGCTGACGCCCCACCTCTCACATCCTGGAGGATCCCAGTGAGGAGCCCGGGAGTCTCGGGGTGCAGGTGCCACAGACCCAGGGCCACCCAACACTGAGCCCCCAGTTAGAGGTAGGAGCGGCGGGAGAGGGGCAGGGCTCAGGCCGGGGGGGGGGGGGGAAGCCACGCAGCCAGGAGGGCAAGCCCGGGGTGGGCGTCGGGGCCTTAGGAAGGGTGGCGGCAAGGAGGAGGTGGGGGGCGTGGCCTCCATGTGAGCAGGAGGACGCCCCGACCCCCGACACGCACTTGAGTCCCAGCCCAGCAGGCTCTGTGGTGCAGTTGGCAAGGCCAGGCCAAGGAAGAGCCCAGCCTGAGGGAAGAAGGGAGTAATGTGGCCGGGGTGTCCCGGGCAGGACAGACTGACAGACTGGAGGGGGGAGGGCACAGGAAACCAGAGGCAGGAGCCCAAGTCTCAGAGAGAGCCAGTGGAGACACAGGTCGTGATGCCACTGAAACACGGGGCTCAGGAGGTGTCCCCAGAGAAGGAACCAGGGAAGGTCATGGCAAGGCCTCTCCTGGAACAGGGCGGGGTGCAGAGCCGGCAGCCGCACCAGGGCAGAGACAGCGGTGGGAGGAGGGACGGCACGATCGAGTTCCCTCCGAGAACAAAACAGAGAAGGGACTCTTCAGAGAAGATTTGCCTAAATCACAGACGCAGGACTCGGGTGGAGAGGACTTTCAGGGGGCACGGGGGCCGTGGGGGTGGAGTTTGGCCTCTTATCACCCGGCTCACACAGACCCTCCTCCATCCTTCCTGCCTCCGGCCTCCACCTTTCGTCCTCACCCCCTGACACGCCTCCTCCCACTCGGTTGTTCTGAAGCGAATCGTAGGTATGGCTTCATATTTCAGTTTGTATCGCTAAGAGATACTTCCCAGAAAGGGACTACAGTGCCCTCAGCACACTGGTGCCCAGTCTGGTTCCAGTTTCCTGGACAGTCGGTCTGATGAGGGCCCACGCACGCCCGCGTGTTGTAACTCCTTCATGTGTCTCTCGGATCTCAGTGTCCTCAGGTCCTCCCTTGCAGTTGTCTAGCATTTGGGCCCCGACCACATATCTGCCGTGGACCAACTGTTGAGTGTGGCCATGGTAGGCGCGGGACGTCGCTCATCAGCGGTGTTCTCCTGTTTGGAAGTGTGTGGTTTCTGATTGTTTTATTTTATATACTTTTTTATTGCAGTAAAACATACCAAGCATAAAATGGACTGTTATAACCATTCTAAAATACAAGCATCACAAAGGACAAAGAGGAATATCAATAAGTGTGACATGACTCTCAGATCAGAGAACAGAACACATATGCAACTAAAAACATAGCTTCAGAAAACAAAAAGCCACAGATGACAAGCGACCTGCTCCAACTCCTCTCTGCACACAGACAGCTCGAGCAGCCACAAGCAAAGATGTGAACAATTTGGATAATGCAATAAACTGAGGCACACTCTTTTCTAGTACAAATGGGACACTCTCCACAGCAACACGTTTTGGGTCCCAAAAGAGGCCTCAGGACACCTTCGGAAGTAGAAGCAGCCACACGGGAGGCAGGCAGACAAGGAGGCGACGACCTGCCTGCCCACTGCCCCTAGTGCTGCAGAAAGTGGTTCCAACCTAGAATTCCAGACCCAGCCAAGCCATCATCGGAGTATGAGATGGAATAAAAAACATTCTGAGACATGCGAGGTGTCACGCTATCTGCCACGTGTTCTCTCAAAGACCTGCTCCAGGAAGACAAGCGTGCAAACCAAGAAAGAGAGAAGCCCAGCATGCAGACCCCAGTGTCTCACACAGGAGCCCCAGGAAGGGAGCCCCAGGGCTGTGGGGGGAGAGGTCTGCGGGACAGCTGTGCCTTGTGAGGGTCGGCCATCCGGACTGGGCAGCTGAGGACACGGCTTCCCCCAGGAGCAGCGGCTCTGACACGTGCCTGACCTACGCCAGAGAGTGCGCAGAGGACCCTGGTGGGTCAGAAGCAGACACGCGGGGCAGCCCATCCTCCTAGCTCTGCCTTTTGCCCTGCCCGGGCCGTGGGCGCCTGGGCGTCCAGAGATCATCTGCGTCCCTGCCCGCCGACTGGGAGGCCAAGGCTCTGCGGTGTCTCTCCTCCTGGGGGGCCTTCAGCTGAGCCACTTGTCAAAACAGGGAGAACGTAGGCCGGGGACATACACCAAGTGCTAAAAGCCAGGGGACAGGACACGATGTCTGGAGGAAGTTGCTTTGCTGGGACAGTCCCCCCAGCGGCTTCCAGGGAACCAAAAATGTGCTATTTCGTATCGGGCTCCTGCATGTCTCTTTTGCTATTTTTTTTTAACTGGTTTTTATATTCTCCTCCTTGCACAACACTTCGCACTTTACCGTCTGAACCAGCGGTGCCGCTTCCCCAGGCACACGCAGCACAACACTGCTGGGGAGGCATTGGCAGCAGTGGGGGGCGCAGGTCCCCAACAGCAGGGGGGCATCCGCAACAGCGGGGGGGGTGTCCCCAACCGTGGGGGTGTCCCCAACAGCGGGGGATTCGAGTCCACAAAGAGGCACCCCAGAGAGATCCAGGCAGATCTGGGTGCACGAGGGGGCTCCGTCTGGGCGCAGGGAGCCTGTACGCATGTTCTCCCAGGTCATCACAGACCCAGGGGCCATTCCGATTCAAATCCCTCCTGTTGGTTTTATCCCATTTGTTCTAGCGCTTGTAAGGAAAAGTGAAGGTTAATGATAAATCAGCTAATTCTGAAGAAAAACAGGGCAAGCAAAGAGGTGGAACTGTGGAGTCAGACGTGAAGTCAGCAGTGACACCGGGCGGCACTGGCACGGGCATCGGCAGCGCGGCAGGAAGAAAGCCCGAGCGGCCCGGCCATGCGGTCCGGCCTCTCTGGGGGACCAGGGCTCAGAGGCGGTGGGCGGGGTCAGCGTGCGCTCCGTCCACAAGGCTCAGGCCAGAGAAAAGACCCCGATACGAAAACCTGGGCCCCCCCCGGGGCTGGACGGTGACACCAGACCCCCCCATCCGTGACACACCTGCCCAGACACAGACGGGGCCACAGTTACAGGAAACAGGACGGCGAGTGCGCACGAGGGACCGCCTGTTAGAGGCTGAAACATCGTGTCGAGAAACAGGGACAGCGCCTCCGAGAAGGCGGGGGCGGGAGAGGAGGCACGGGCTCCCCGGGGTCAGAGACAGACGGCAGCAGTTTGGGAGATGGGTTGAAAGTTAAAATTGAGAAACGCTCCCATTCAGCAGAACGGAAGGGCAGACATACAAACAACAGACCACAGAGGTGTGATCTGACATCCAGCCAACGGGGTTCTGGAGCGGTGAGCAAACGGAAGGCAGAAAATGTCACAAACTGCAGGGCACACGTTTGCAAACAGATGGGTCGCTGGCTGAGGATCCAGAAGCCCATCCCAGACCCGACGCGATGGGACTTCAGGATCCAAACGCAGCCAGAGGGGCACAGGCCCCCCCAAAGGGTCAGGGACTGGCTCAGCCGTTTCTGTGACGCCGGCAGCCCTGGGCAGCCGCGTCTTCAAGCTAGGACACCCGCCCGGATCTCAGCTGCTGAGGACACCAAATACTTGGCTTTCGGGAGACACCTCTCACACGATGAAGGTGTGGCCGGCAAAATGAGGAAGCAGACCAGGGAGGAGGAAGGCACGGGTCAGTGACGCTGGGCTGGAAGTCATCGGGGAGACGAGGGACCCCTGGGTCCTGGAGAAGGGGCACCAGTCCAGGGTGGCCGCCACACAAGACCCATCGCCGAATGACCAGGGGCGTTGACCTGGGTTCTCCAGAGAAACAGACGGATATATAAATGTCTGTGTGTATAAAAGTCACTCTCGGGGGCGCCTGGGTGGCGCAGTCGGTTAAGCGTCCGACTTCAGCCAGGTCATGATCTCGCGGTCCGTGAGTTCGAGCCCCGCGTCGGGCTCTGGGCTGATGGCTCAGAGCCTGGAGCCTGTTTCCGATTCTGTGTCTCCCTCTCTCTCTACCCCTCCCCTGTTCATGCTCTGTCTCTCTCTGTCCCAAAAATAAATAAACGTTGAAAAAAAAATTAAAAAAAAAAAAGTCACTCTCAGGGACGGGTCCCCCCCGGCTTGTGCTGTCACTCTAGGGATGGGTCTCTCCATGCTCGTGCTGTCACTCTAGGGACAGGTCCCCCCCTGCTTGTGCTGGCCACAAGGCCCCACGACCGGACCCAGGAGAGCCGGCCGTGGGTCCCGCTCTGAGCCCAAAGGCGGGAGGAGACCCGTGTCCCAGCTGGAAGACGGGCAGAGGGGGCGGGTTCTCCCCCTCCGCCTTCGTCTTCAGGCCCCAACTGATCGGACGAGGCCCACCCACACCGGGGCGGCCTCCGTTTCCCTCAGTTCGCCGAGTCAGATGTCCGTCTCACCCAGAAACGCCGGGCGTAACGTTCCCCCAAATACCTGGGCCCCTGCGGCACAGCCACGCTGACGCGTAAGACGAGCCATCGCAGGAGAAGGAAAGAGAAGGGATGATTACGTGAGAAGATTAAGCGTGGAAGGAAGTACAAACAGGATGCTCTTCTGAATGTGCTACAAAGTGCACACTCCCTCGAAGGAGACAAACGTCCAGTGCCGAGTTAGCAGGGGGTCCCAAGCTGGACACCCCGGGAGGGGAAACGGGCACGCGTACACGCGCACGCGCGGAGGAGCTGAAGTCCCCCGGCCGTGGGGCTGAGGCAGTGGACGCTCCCCTCCGTCCGCTCCGCCGCCACCTGACCTCCTCCTCACCCTTGTGGTCTGTGCTCAGGGAAGGCAATGTCCCCCGGCCAGACCTCGGAGGAGAATGGTCACTGGTCCTCAGAGCGGGGCCTCCTGGGCAAGGGTTTCCTCTCAATTGCAAAGCCCCTCCCGTGTACTGATGCCACGGGGTCTGCAGACAAGGCCCGGACCACGGTAGCCACCCTGTGACCGTGAGGTTGAGCAGGGCTGACGTGCTGTGCGTGGCGGAGCTCGGGGACAGCTTTGGGGCCTCCTCCTTGCAGACTTCTCACGAGAGATGGTCGACCCCGTGCCGTCTGAACTCCTGTGGGCGGCTCCCCTGTCTGTCTGTGGCTGAGCCTGTCGTAACCAATGCGTTACACATACCGTGTGGTCGGGAAAAAAATACCTTCAACCCACAACTGCACAAACAGCCAGGTGCCTGGGCGGCTCAGGCGGTTCAGCGTCTGACTCTGGATTTTGGTTCAGGCCGCGGTCCCAGGGTAACGGGATTGAGACCCGTGTTGGGCTTGCACTGAGTGGGGAGCCTGCTTGAGATTCTCTCTCCTTCTGCCCCCCCCCCCCGCTTGCGCTCTTCCTCTCTCTCTCTCTAATGATAAAATAAAAGATAAGCAAAAACCCCAAGACAAAACACACAGCCATCACCCGAAGTCCCTTCCTAACTGACGTGAAAAGAAGAAAGAGGCTTCTCCGGGCGCCCGGAAGGATCAGGGGTTTGGTACCTCCTCCCCGTTGCCGCCCCCGGTGCTCCCCCAGGCTCACGGAGGTTGGGGAGCCGAGCCCCCCAGAAAGGTGAGGCTTCAGCCCCAGCAGGAGCCTTGCTGCCCCTGGGTCCTCTGCACAGGTGCCCACCTCGCTCGGCCCCTTTGCTTAGCGGAGAAGACCCACCCACACCAAGCCTGGAGGCCCTCTGCCCACAGCTGGCTGCAGAGACACAGAGGTCAGGACACACACGCGCACGGGCAGGCCACCAGCGACCACTGAGTGACGTGGGGCACGACGGCGAGTGCTCCGTAACTCAGCTGCTCCCTGCCTTCGGGTATCCCTGCTCACCTGTGTGTGGTGCCCAGACGCACCCCTACAGCTCCGCACCGTCACCCTCGGGGCCCCACCCACCCCTCGTCCTCACGCCTGAGAGCTGGTGGGCTTCCGGGCCTGTGCCCCTGAACTTGCCCCTCCCTGACTGTCCTCTGGCTCAGCCCCTCCACACATTAGCTGTGCACCTGCTTTACACGCCCAGGCCCGGCTGCACTGTTCCTGCCGGCCCACCCCTCTGGCCCTCACTCCTGGTGCTGCCCCCCACCCCGAGTCTCTCCCGCCAGGAGCCCCCGACCAGCATCCTCACCTCTCTGGACCACGGCTTACCCACCACCCTCACTACGAAAAGGCTGAACGTTGGAGGAAGCCAGTGTCCGCCTGTCTATCTGCCCAGGCTGCTGGCTACTGCCTGAGAGCACCCTGCAGCCTGGTGCCACCGGAAAGCCCTGCTGGCCAGGCCATCAGGGCTCGCGGCCCCCTTCCCCGTGGGGACCACTGTGCAGCCGGTGAGCCCGCCCCCGCTCCTGCAGAGAGTAGGAGGCAGCAGCCAGCGGCAGCCTCCGGGCGCCCCGCCAGCGCCCGCCCGGCGCCGAGGAGCAGGGCCTTCGGGAGCCCCGGCGGCATCCCACTGCCCCAGGGCCTCCTGACACAGGACTGCCCTGCTCCCCGTGCCCACACCCTGGTCCCCAGCACTGGGGCAACGGAACCGTATGTGGCACGGAATGATTAAGTCCTTCACTGAGGTGGGGAGATCAGCCTGGATTATCGGGGTGGGCCAGGTCATCACAACGTCCTTATAAGGGGGGGGGGGGGGGGAGGAGGAGGAGACGTAATGATGGGAGCAGAGTCAGGGAGAGGGCCAAGGGGCATGGGCACCTCTAGAAGCAGAAAAGGTCAGACAGGTGCTCTCCTGGAGCCTCCAGAAGGAAAGTGGCCCCGGTGACGGCTGAGCCCAGCGAGGCCTGTGTTGGACCCCTGCCCTCAGAGCTGCAGGATAACAAATCTGTGCTGCCTTAAGCCACCAGTTTGGCCTCCGTGGCGCTGGGGCACGGACACGGGGGCTCCGTACCAGTTCAGCCTCCGGATGGGGCTCAGCGGGGCCTCTGGAGGCGGCTTTGGGATGCGCCCCAGTTGCTGAGGGCCGAGGGCTTCTTCCGTCCTGACCCTTCCTCTTCCTCCAGGTCTCTGGGAGCGGCACCTCCTTGGCTAGACTGCCCCCCCAGCCTGCCCCCCCCCTGCACTGAGGGGGGTACTCGGCCCAGTGCCTGTTACCAGGGACCCCCGGTTCCAGGCCGCCTGGATGAGGTAGGCACTTCAGAACGATGGCTGGATTCACACCTTCCCGGAGAGACTCACCGCCACCCGTGGCCTCCTGACCCCAGGTCCACATTTAGGGTGCACATCCACGTCCAGGACTAAGGGGAAGGGCCCTAGGGCATGTGGGGGATGGGGCTGGGGGAGACGCCTTGAGCGGTTTTACAGACAGTTTTTCCCTTTT